TCTGGCACCCCTCCCTACGACTAGATCCAGCTTACCACCAGGTGGTAAGAAGTTGACATCTCTGACCCTTTCTTTCTTTACCTGAGTGTCCAAGACCTGCTGAGCATGCCAGCAAATCAAAGCGCTAGGTGGTTCTGGGTAAGTGAGGCACAGAGTTCTCAATGGGTGTCATGTCCAGGAATCTGTTGGATTTGCCAGCAATCTCTCAGCAAACTCTTCCCTGACGAAGAGCATCACACTTATTTGTTGTTTTCTGAAATCCATTACACCTAAATTTACCAACATTACTAAACTGAAACGTATTTGATTAAATAATTGAAAACGAAAACATCTGCCCCGTGTGAGGCTCGAACTCACGACCTTCAGATTATGAGACTGACGCGCTGCCTACTGCGCCAACGAGGCCTTCAAAATATACCACACACGCAATAAACAGGATAAAATATTTGACCACCCGTTGTAATCCAGCTTTTGTATGAATCATAGAACATTCAAAAGTAAATCGCAATTACTGTTTGTGATCCAAAACTTCATTACGCTTCATTAGGAAAAAAGAAATTCACAAAGATGAAAAAAAACGCTTGCGCCCAACGTGGGGCTCGAACCCACGACCCTGAGATTAAGAGTCTCATGCTCTACCGACTGAGCTAGCCGGGCTTAGCTCGTGTAGATCAGGGCTTTCTTTTAAACTTCAACACCCTGATGTTATCCACGAGTGTACGGTAGAATAAACACAAGAGGTAAACAGAAACATTTCTGTTAATGCAAAGACAAGTTGCGCAACAACAGTCTTTAGAGTACAAAACGACAACTTTAATGAAAATACTGAAACTACTAATGTCTGTAACAATATTTTGTTCTTGTCTGAAATCCATGCATCTAAATTACCTAGCAGATATTTGCTGACATCAAACTAAAACATATTTAATTTATAAACAAAAACAACTTTCGATCAAAAAGTCTGCCCCGTGTGAGGCTCGAACTCACGACCTTCAGATTATGAGACTGACGCGCTGCCTACTGCGCCAACGAGGCCTGAAGTACCGCTTCAAAAATTACATTTTTATGTTTACGCTCAACAACTTTAGAGACGGCGTAAAATTTGGTTTTATATGCCACCTATAAAGCTTCATAGCCAAATGCGACTTCACATCAACAATGAATTGCCAAAATGCTGTTTATGCATTCAGTTCTACGTTGTTTTGTCCTAGCTGCAGTTTATCATACTATCCAGTAGATGGCAGCAAAGTAATTGCCACAAACTGGCAATATTCCTTGTTTTTTTTTTACACTAAGTGTAAATAATTTGTGTTACATTTACAATTATCGTTAGCCGTTCTGGACAACATTGTCAGGAAATGCCACGCTAAAAATCATGTTTGTGTTGGACTGACCGAACATTGCAGACAATAAGACGTTTTGTCTAGTCAAAATAATTATTCTAGATATCTTCAACGTCATTCTGACTAGTCAAAATGTTCATTCAAAATACATTAAATAGAAATGCCGTCTACATGAAAAAAAATCTTGAATTCATTTTGAAGAAATCTTACAAGGAATTTTGACTAATCATAAGTACTGTTCTAGTATCTCTGAGTTAATTTTGCCTAGACATGGCATCAAGATATCTGCAATTTAATTTGCTCAAGTCAAATCCTTTGAGATATCTAAAACTACATTTAAGATATCTTGAATAATGATGTACTTCAAGATATCTTTCATTGTAATTAGTCACAACTAACAGCAAGATATCTTGAAAGCAAATAATGACTAGTCAAAATTAACTTAGAGATATCTAGAACTGTTTTTGTGACTAGTCCAATTTAATTTGAATATATCTTGAACCCTTAACAAAAAATTATACATTTGAAGCTTATTTTTGCAAGTATAATTTAAGTATATCAAGTATACTACACACCATACTTGTAGTGTACTAGAAGTATGATTTAATACTTATTTGGACTAAATTGGGACATTTTTATACAATTTTTAAGTATATCAAATAAATATTATAAAAAGTCAACTTCAAGTACACTTCCTCATTTTTAGTGTAAAATAAGTATACTTGTAGTACACTTAATAACTACTTTTTGCTAAGGGAATTGAAGTCTCCATACAACTTAATGGTAAATCTCACGTCATTTATAGTCAAAATGTAAATAGAGATATCTCAAATTAGTATTTTGACTAGTCAAACTATAACTAAAGATATCTTAAATAACTAATATAATCATTTTCAGATATCTGATTTTATGTTAAAATGGCCTGCCATACTACAGTACCTCTCCCTCAGTTCTTCCATGCATTTGGACAGGTAATGCGTAAATTCCACGATTTTGACCATTAAAGTGTTGAAATAATTCAGAAAACAGTTTGTCAAGTGGTCAAATGGATTTTCTCTTATCACTGTTAAGCCTTTCACTTGTGATGACAGGTGCAGCACAGCCTCACCTGCCTGCACATCACTGGTTCAAACATGGTGTTCATGATGGACAAACCGTGATTAGCACAGAAGTCCAATAACAGCAGGACTCGTGCTCCTCCATGTCACACTGTTGTTACCCACAATGACATTTAAGTCCACCAGCAGAATAAAGGAGTCGCCAGTTGGAGCACAGTCAAGCACCCCCACTAAAGACTACAAGTAGGCTGGATACTCTGAATTGCCATTCAGCGTGTAGGTGCAACCAACCTTCAGAGACCACCCCCCACACGAAGAAGCAGGGAAGCTATCCTCTCACCTACTGGGCAAAGCTCCAACACATACACACCAAGTCTGGGGGCTACAAGTAGACCCACACCCGCTTGGAACCTCTCACCATGGGCAACACCAAAGTGGAATAAGGTCCAGCCCCTCTCAAGGAGACTGTTCCAGAACTGGAGAAACAAAGAAAAAAAAAATAGCAGGTTTATCATATTTAATATATGTAATTTTAAGTAACGGGTTCTGATTTTGGTTCTTTTCTGCTAATTTTTTGGCGTCATATCTTTTTATCCTTTATCATGTTTCAACTTTTCATTTTGTTAGGTCTCAAATTTGTCATCTATGCTTTATGAGGCAGATCTTAGTTAAATAGTAAATAAAAAAAAAAACACATTTGGACCATGAATTGAAAGCAGTTTTTAATAATTTAATTCCACCATGCATAAAACATATCGAAAATACTTTACAGCGACGACAATGATAAAAATCAACTTTTTATGACGCTTAAAAAAAAGCAGGTGTCACAGATCACTGAGGTTCACAGGGTTAGTCTGATGCTAGTACAGTTGACAACATGACGTTTAGGTTAAAAGAAAAGCTGATGCGTCCTTCTTTGCGTACTTCTTTTCTACCTTTAGCCCAGCACGGATGCTCGCTGGGTCATCACAGGTTAAAAGGGCGACCCCCGACAAAAATGGGGGAAAATTTAAGTAAAGGGTCTAGGGGGGGGGGGGGGGGGGGGGAGCGAAAGGCATCCATTCTTCATGCTTTCAAATGGCACTAGTTTTAAAGAAATATGGCAATTACACTTCTTCATATCAGAAATTATTATAACCATTGTCTAAAAATAATACTGAAATAATCATATCAGTGCGTTGTCAAGATATTACAGCATTTTGAGACACTCGGATAGTTGTAAATGGGTCTAGACAAACATTTCCAACAAAAAATTACCTTCACAGCTGCATGAACATCCTGTTTCATGAATTTATACGCCCCAAAAAGCAGACAAGTCTGAAAAATTTTCAGTCAGGAAAGAAATCCTGCAGTTTACTTCATCACACCGCTGAACTACAATATCACTTTGAGCTAAAACTAAGCAAAAAACAACTCAAAGAACTTCTGATTCCTCATCAGCCGTCACCATTAGAGCATAAAAGTCATGAGCCCTTTAACTGACTGACTTTAGGAGTCGTATGCCAGGCGTTAAGCTCAACAAAAGCAGGCGAGGTGAAGAAACAAAACACAAAAGAGGCTCAAAATGAAAAGAAAATCCTTTTTAGCAGCGCCATCAGCAGGTGTAAATACACAGCAACAACTTTGGAGAAAAAGACCAACTTTTACAGAAATAAAACCTGATAAATCATGTAAATTTTAAAGTTAACATCTAAAAATCAGGGTTCCAAACCCTGGTCCCTGAGGAACACCATCCTGAATGTTTCAGTTGTTTCTCCGCTCCTACACGCCTGATTCAGTGATTTAATTACTTCAAGTTCTGCAGAAGCCAGTTGATCACCCATTCAATCAAATCAGGGAAACAAGTAAAACCTGCAGGACGGTGTTCCTCAAGGACCACAGATAGGACCCACTGGTTTAGACACAGTTTAGTCACAGTTTTGGAGCAGAGGAGGTCGCTGTAATGCAAAACAAAAAAAGAAGAATGAAAATGATATAGGTCCAAATCACTTGGGTTTCACACAGGAATGAAAACATGCTTTTTTTATGAAAGAGTGAGTCACTTTGTTCATTCATTCATCTGCTGTCTACTTTCACAAAGTCAGTGGTGCTTTTCTCCAGAGAGGGTTGAACAGACTCTTTGACGACAAAGATAAAGACGGCGAAGAAAAAGATGTCAAGAATACCAAAAAACATCTACATTTCAGATTCTCCAGCAAAATTAAAAAGTTGTTTTTCCTCAATGTTAGGATATAAAAATTCATTTCATTATTTCCTAGTTTTGACATTTCTGATGATTTCTTCTAAAATTGAAGGGCATTTATGATTTTTCCCACCCAGAAAGGTCAATTAATGTAAATCTTTCCCGAGAATACTAAATATTTTTTTAAGTAGGATTAAAAACGTCAAGACATGAATTTAAGAAGAAATTAATCATCCAAGTGATTTCCACAAGCTATTTTCTTAACATTCTCGATTAATTATTTTCTAGAGTTTCAGTATTTAATTCGTGTCAAATATTTAGAAACTCCTTGATTGTGGGAAAAATGACACAAAAAAAATTGTGGGGGAACGCCACATCCTTCCATACATTTCTTCTCTCTTCCTTCATTTTTATCCACGTTTCTTTTTTCTGGCAAGACGCGTTTTGATCTTGCACGTTTCTTCTTCATGACACCGTCCTTGCATCCTTTCGGAGTCTGTTCCTCATTTTAAGGAATGCTTTCATCCCTTCCTCTCAGAACAAGACGTCTTCGTTGGTAATGAGCGTTTCCACCACCAGTCTCTGGTATCTGATGTCGTTGAGCGCCGTCATGGCGTCCAGCTCGGGGGCCCTCATCAGCGTCGGGCCGAAGACGATGCCCAGGTTCTCGCTGGACATGAGGTTCTCCTTCTCGTAGTCGGTGACTCTGGACAAACAGGAGCAGATAATATAAATCAGAAGGTAAAGAGAATTTAACTCTAGCTGTAGGATGTGCGTAATGAAACCAAGTTAAGGCAAAGTTTGTGTTCAGACCTCTTCAGGTGAGCCATGAGGTATCGCAGCGACTCCAAGTGAGCCGGGGGCAGCAGCTTCAAGGCCTCATGGAGAGATTCCAGGCGTTTTTCTGAATCTGTAATTTCTGCAAAACACACACCAAAGATTGAACACTAAATATAGAGCTACAGAGGTGAAAGGTCATAGTTTAAGATACTTCCACTAGGTCCCAGATTTGACCTAGAGCTGATTTAAGATCTGCATCATGCATTCGTCACATCTAGACTGGACTATTGCAATGGTTTGTTATCTGGGTGTCCAAGGAGTTCTTTAAGTCTTCAGTTAATCTAAAATGCTGCTGCCAGAGTCTGAACTGGAGGTAGTGGGAGAGATCATATCTCTCCAGTTTTAGCTTCTCTCCACTGGCTCCCTGTCAAATTCAGAATTAAACTCAAAATCTTACTTCTAACCTACAAAGCCCTCAACAACCTAGCTCCATCTTATATTACAAATCCTTATTGTTTCATATTTTCACAACAGTGTAGAGCTGCATTCGGGACAAAAAAATCTGACTCGGTCCGGCCTGAATCTGTATCATTTTTTCCAAGCCCGACCCGAAACCGATCAATTAACTGTGATTACAGGCTCGAACCCGAAAAAAAACCCAACATTTATTTTTTTTGTAATTAATAAGCTTTTACTGCTTTTGTAAGCAAATCAGTTTGACATGATTTTAAAAAGTATTTCAAAGAAAGGAAGATATACGATTTCTTGTTTATTAACAAAAGTGAGCGGATTATTATATTTATTATAATATTATAGTTATTATAGCTTTTAACGGTCGGCGGACGCACGCGGCTGATGATCCAAGTTGGGGTCGTCGGCCACACGCTGATGCAGCGGCTGAGTCCAGTTTAGCTTCAGGTGGGTTGCTGACAGTGATCCATCTGGACTTTTTTTTTACCTGTTTCAACTGGCCAGTCAGTGCGTGGTCAAACGATCGCGCGCGGCTGGTGATCCAATGAGCGCATCCACTGACGTAATCAAAAGCCTGACACCAACCGGCCCGCCCATACAGCACATTATTTTGGCCTGGGCTGACCTGAATTTCAGGCCGGGCCGGGCCGGGCCGGGCCGGGCGCGGGTTTGAAATGACAGCTCTATAACAGAGCACTTCGCTCTCAGACTGCAGGTTTACTTGCGGTTCCTAGAGTTTCCAAAAGCAGAATGGGAGTAGGGCTGGGCCATATCATATTGTTCACAATAATACAGGTAAAAAAAGCTTGCCCGGGAAAATAAATGATATCATGATATGCTAATTTCATGATGTAAGTACGTCAGTGTTTGCCCCGCCCCATTAACAACCAAGCGCGCTGAACTACTGAATCGAACTGCGCACACTCCCATCCACCTGTCAGTAATGGCATAACGCTAATTAGCTGTGCACAATACTAGCTAGTTAAAATGCTACAAACAAACAATGCGCGGCTCGGCTGTGTTTCGCCATCCAGCTCTAAACTGCGGGTACAGACAGTGACAGCTCAACTGTCTCTCTCCCCCCCCCACCCCCACCAGCGCAACTCGGCTTTTATCTCTCCCCCCACTCCTCTCTGGGCTGCTGGTGCGGGAGCAGTTTGTCTCCCCCGCTCTAAACTGCCGGTACAAACACATGCAGGTCTGTCTCTTAAGAACCACAGTCCATGGACCAAGAACAGAGTCAGGTGATGAAAGACAGAGCATCAGAGAAATTAATCATTCCTGCAGGAACAGAGGAAGTTGAAACACCACAAGCTTCAGGTCAGCAGAAGACACCTTCTCATAATTTGTGGAAGTTATTCCTCATTTAAAGGCAACACATATTTTGTTGTAGTTACATTTATGCTCAACAGATCTTAAGCTTCATTTTATTTAGTTATTTTGGGAAACTTCACCTGCACTTTAGTTTTTGTGGTGGATTTTGTTGTTCTATATTTTGTGCAGACTTTTTCAATCTAAATAACAGAAGGATAATTTTTTTTTAATACTTTGAGACTGAATACTTTACTAAATGAAGTAATTTCAGTAAAATTAACCCTTGTTGTTATTTTAGTTTTTATATAATACTGCAAAGCAACATGTTAAGTTAATTTTGTCAAATAAATAACTATGATTTCTGTTTGTTTTTTTGCTATATCATGAAATTTATCGTTATCGTCAGAATGCTCTGAAATATCACAATATTATATTTGAGCCATATCGCCCACCCCTAAATGGGAGGAAGATCTTTCAGTTATCAGGCTCCTCTCTTGTGGAACCAACTTCCAGTTTCTGTCCGTGAGCCTGACACATTGTCCAGTTTTAAGACTGGGATTAAGACTTTCCTTTTTGATAAATCCTATAGTTGGGGTTGACTTGTTATGCTGCCATAGTGAAATATATTTTTATCAGATAATATATTAACTTAATGAAATGTCTAGATATATGTATGCCGTTTTGTTATTTAGAATGATGTGTTAAAACATGATCTGATTCCGTTTCCGGTAGAAAATGTAGTTTCAGCTACATGCCTACAACTCCCAGACATTCACGCACCCACCTATTATAGAACACAAGATGGATAGATATTATTGGTTGAGAGCTGGGTCACATGATAGAGTAGGACTTCCCATTCGTTGATGGTGGTGACAACTCCAGGAGGTGTGGCCAAGCTCTGAAGAAGATGGGTTTTCTGTTGACGTTCGGGGCCATTGTTTGTGACGCATCGTGGAGTTACAATGGCCCAGGGCTGGTGATCTTGTACTTTACATGTAAAATAAACCTTCTGAAATGGAAGACAATTGCTCCTCCTCTCCCTGCTTCAGATATGAACACATTCTTACAATTGGCTTAGACTACTGGAGGACAAATTGACCCCATTTCCTTAAAATGAATTGTTAAACTGAATAGTTTTTATTTGATACTATTTTTATCTCTACGTGATTCTTGACCTGCCATTGTGTATCTGTTCCTCCTTCCTGTTCCTCTCAAACCCAGCCATTCGAAGCAGATGACCACTTGTCCTGAACCTGGTTCTGCTGGAAGTTTCTTACTCATGAGGGAGTTTTTCCTTTCCACTGTTGCCTTCGTGCTTGCTCAAGATGAGTCTGCGATGGAGTTAAACTCAAAGCAGTCTGCTCCTCAGATAAATAGTGTTATTAACTTACTTTTTATATGGCTGTTTCTGTTCAGTGCCCTGAGATGACTTCTAATGTGACTTCTAATAAACTGAATTAAACTGAATTGAAGATCTCTCAATCAACATTTTACATTCTTTTAGGTCTTTTAGGGGCCGAGATGGTGTAGAGGCAGGGCAGCCGGCTTGGGACCCGAGAGTCCCAGGTTCGATCCCCAGTCACTGCACATCACGTGGCGTCTCTGGGCAGCACGCCTAATCCCCAAAATGTCCCCCGGGCGCTTTCAATAGCTGCCCACTGCACCACCTGGTGGTGGATGGGTTAAATGCAGAGACTAATTTCGCCATTGTATGGAAACATACAGTGCTGACATTGTGATGACATTATTATTATTATTATTATTTATCTTATTGTTTATCAGGCTGCACAATACTAAGACAAGACTGAAATATTATAGTTGGATATACAAATGCACTTGTATTAAATGTTTTTTTTTAACCAAAGTAAAGAATGTGCAAACACCTACTTCCAGCTTCTATAAATCGTGGGTAGGCATCATAAGTGATGAGGGGAATGGGCAGCTCTCTGAAGTAGAGCTTGAGGGCGCCGGTGATAATGTTTATGTCCTCGTAGGCGTTTGAGGAAATGTCCGCTTTTTCTCCATCTGAGGACGAAACCATTCAGAGACATCAAGACATAAAGAAACCAGCTGAAGGCAGGGTTTAGACGATTCATGAGTGAAAGGGGGTGACGCTCACCTCTATCAAACGCCAGCTTGACATCCTCTATCAGCTCACTGAAGCCAGATATTCTGTACAGACCTTCTGACTGAAGACCTGTAAGATTGGAAACATGCTGTCAAGAATTTCAAGATTACGGAGAGGCTTTATTTACTTTAATGAACAAAATATTTGATCTAATAATGCGAGGAATTCCTTGTTTCCAGTCGTGTTTTGTAAAGGGATCTCTAACTAGTTGGAACAATAGATCTTATGTAATAAACAATTACTTCAGCTATAAAAACAAGACTGTAAAAATACATCAAGGCTGTTTAGTTTTTATAATTCAAACAAATTGTTGACACACGGATGTTGCCGTTTTATCTATGTTGCAATGTATTCTGGGTAGATGATGTAAACAGTAGGGGTGTAACAATACATCGATTTCCATCGATATATCGATTCATATAGTCATCTTTAAAATATGCTTTTATTTTGAAATTCCAAAGGCATGCCTGTGTCACCATTTCTGTGCGCGGCTGCGCTCTAATCAACACTGTGGAAATATTTTTGATTCCAACAGAAGGAAGGCTCAACAGACAAAACTCATGCCGTATGCAACAGGTGCCAGTGTGAGTTAAAATACTCGGGGAAACAAAAAATTTGTTTGTTCACCTGAAGAAGAAACACGGCATTGATAGCCATGTTATGTAAACTCAACATCTATTTTTGTTTCTTTATAACTGGAAGGTAATCAGGACACTTTTAAGTTCACTGGTTTATAAAATGCACTTAAACATGAGAAATATGAGACTATACTGAACAGGTCATTTATTTTTAATTTTCCTCATCCATTTTCTTCCGCTTATCCGGGGTCGGGTCGCGGGGGTAGCAGCCTAAGTAGGGAGGCCCAGGCTTCCCTCTCCCCAGCCACTTGGGCCAGCTCTTCCGGGGGAATCCCGAGGCGTTCCCAGGCCAGCCGAGAAACATAGTCCCTCCAGCGTGTCCTGGGTCTTCCTCTGGGCCTCCTTCCGGTGGGACGTGTCCAGAACACCTCACCAGGGATGCGTCCAGAAGGCATCCTAAACAGATGCCCAAGCCACCTCAACTGGCTCCTCTCGACGTGGAGAAGCAGCGGCTCTACTCTGAGTCCCTCCCGGATGATCGAGCTTCTCACCCTGTCTCTAAGGGAGAGCCCAGACACCCTGCGGAGAAAACTCATTTCGGCCGCTTGTATCCGAGATCTCATTCTTTCGGTCACAACCCAAAGCTCGTGACCATAGATCAGGGTGGCAATGTAGATTGATCGGTAAATTGAGAGCTTCGCCTTTTGACTCAGCTCTCTCTTCACCACGACAGACCTGTACAGCGCCCGCTTCACTGCAGACGCTGCACCTATCCGCCTATCGATCTCACGCTCCATTTTTCCCTCATTCGTGAACAAGACCCCAAGATACTTGAACTCCTCCACTTGGGGTAGGACCTCCTCCCTGACCCGGAGAGGGCACTCTACCCTTTTCCGGCTCAAGACCATGGCCTCGGATTTGGAGAAACTGATCTTCATCCCGGCCGTGTCGCATTCGGCTGCGAACCGCTCCAGCGAAAGCTGTAGATCACGATCTGATGAAGCCAATAAGACCACATCATCTGCAAAAAGCAGAGACGCAATCCTAAGGCCACCAAAACAGATCCCCTCAACACCTTGGCTGCGCCTAGAAATTCTGTCCATAAAAGTTATGAACAGAATCGGTGACAAAGGGCAACCTTGGCGGAGTCCAACTCTCACCGGGAACAAGCCCGACTTACTGCCGGCGATGCGGACCAGGCTCTGACACCGGTCATACAGGGACCTAACAGCCCGTATCAAAGGGCCCGGTACCCCATACTCCCAGAGTACCCCCCACAGGGCCCCCCGAGGGATGCGGTCGAATGCCTTCTCCAAGTCCACAAAGCACATGTAGACTGGTTGGGCAAACTCCCACGCACCCTCCAGGACCCTGCTGAGTGTAGAGCTGGTCCAGTGTTCCACGGCCAGGACGAAAACCGCACTGCTCCTCCTGAATCCGAGGTTTGACTATCCGACGAAACCTCCTCTCCAGAACCCCCGAATAGACCTTACCAGGGAGGCTTAAGAGCGTGATTCCCCTGTAGTTGGAACACACTCTACGGTCCCCCTTCTTGAACAGGGGGACCACCACCCCGGTCTGCCAATCCAGGGGAACTTCCCCCGATGTCCACGCAATATTGCAGAGTCGCATAAGCCAACACAACCCTACAACATCCAGAGCCTTAAGGAACTCTGGGCGAATCTCATCCACCCCCGGGGCCCTGCCACCGAGGAGCTTTTTAACCACCTCGGTGACCTCAGCACCAGAGATTGGAGGGCCCGACCCAGAGTCCCCAGGCTCCGCTTCCTCAGTGGAAGACGTGCCGGTGGGATTGAGGAGGTCTTCAAAGTATTCTGCCCACCGACCCACAACATCCCGAGTTGAGGTCAGCAGCACACCACTCCCACTATAAACAAGTGTTGGTGGCGTACCGCTTTCCCCCCCTGAGACGCTGGATGGTAGACCAGAATTGTCTCGAAGCCATGCGGAAGTTGTTCTCCATGGCCTCTCCGAACTCCTCCCATGCCCAAGTTTTTGCCTCAGCAACCACCCGAGCCGCATGTCGCTTGGACTGCCGGTACCCATCAGCTGCTTCCGGGGTCCCACAGGCCAAAAAGGCCCGATAGGACTCCTTCTTCAGCCTGACAGCATCCCTCACCGACGGTGTCCACCATCGGGTTTGAGGGTTGCCGCCGCGACAGGCACCGACAACCTTGCGGCCGCAGCTCTGGTAAGCCGCCTCGACAATAGAGGCACGAAACATGGTTTTATTTTTCCTTAAGAAAAAAATGTTTTTTTTTTTTATTTAAATGCCTGGCGCCTGTAATAGAAATAAAATGGTTAAATCTTATTTGAATTGTTTTTGTAAATTTAATTATATGTAAATGAGATGGGCATTTGATATTGCAATATATCGATAGCAGACTTGTGAATCGAAAAGAATCGAAATTGTATCGTGACAGACTTTGTGATATTGAGAAAAATCGTATCGTCATACAAACAAATCAATATAATATCGTATCGTGGTAAAGCTGATGATTTACACCCCTACTAAACAGGTTGATTTGGGGATAGCTCCATTCAGCTTGAATGTTAATTTTGGACATTTAATTTGAACTGGAGCATGTTGACAGAGAGAAAAATGGGAGACATAGCTCAGCTTTTGTGTTAACACCCGAGCTTATCAATTAAATATTACAAGTTGATCACGTTTGATCGTTTCAACCCATATATTGTGCATAATGACTAATACAAAATATAACTTCAATGCCACATGTTATAACTTTTTAGCTTTGACTCCTGTTTTAGTCTCCACTACAACCGATGTTCATCATTACCACAGAATGCATTGCACTGGTAAAATAATGACGAAGTCCTTTGGTGAAAAATTCAATAAACATTAATACATTTTTAAGTAATTAGGAGTTATCACATCACAAACTACATGGAGATTTAGGGCAACGCTAAAAAAATTTAAAAAAATTACATTGCCATGTTAAGAAAAAAAAATTAAAAGCCATAAAATTACAAGAATAAAGTTGTAGTATTACGAGAATAAAGTTGAATAAAGTCTTAATATTATGAGAATAAAGTCGTACGAGACTTTTTTTTACAGCTGTCGTTAATTTTTTCACGAGTCGGATCCATGACGCGACCTGTCCATCAATCCAGTAGGCGTGTCAGCAAATGACCAATCAGAAGCTAAATGAGTTGTAATATTATCCGAACTCTGACACGATAAAGCAGGGTCTACCACATTTTAACTGTAGTAAAATAAAAAATGTTTGTTAAACTTTATTGTTATTGACGCTCTTACTCAAAACGTGTTCCAATACTGCTGTTGTGTTTTTGTATGCTGCTTCTGGGATGCATATACGTGACGTAATTACGTCGTGACTTTCATTTTTGTTTCCGTTTGAAAATGGCGCTCACTCAGCGAAACTGTGTGCGTGCAGCGCGGTCTTCAATAAATTTGCCAGAAAGAGGCTGAAGAGACCCAGCGACTCACTTATAGGTGCATTTAGCTTCAGATTGGTCATTTGCTGACACGCCTACTGGATTGATTGACAGGTCGCGTTGTGGATCTGACTCGTGGGAAAAAATTAATAAATAAACGAGAGCTGTAAAAAAAATGTCTCATGCGACTTTATTCTAGTAATTTTATGGCTTTTATTTATTTTTTTCTTAGCGTGGCCCTAAAGCTCAGTCGTAACAACTTTTAGTGGAATAGAAAAAGATCAACACATTAAGACCAATATGTGCAAGTAGCCAGAGATCCCTTTAAGGCAGTTATAAAACATTCACAGACTAAATGTAGACAGAGGTTCAATAAAGGATGATTGATTAGAGATAAAAAGAATGATTGATGGTTTCAATTGTCTGTCTGTCTCCAGTCAAGCTCAATCACATCAAGTGTTGCCTCTGATCAATACATTTCTGTCTGCTGTGACCACTCAGACCTCCCAAGGCTGGGGCACTCACTCACATATTCTCTTACCTCTTGAGTTTAGCTCCTATTATATAATCTCTGATTCACTCACCTCGAGCCTCGATTTCCTGTATGCACATGTCCACCACCATTGGCCTCTTGGTGTTGTGGGCTTTAACCAGCGTGGTCAGGTCGCAGCTGTACACCTTCTTGACATGCCGAAGGTCTGGCTGACAGTCGTTCGGCACGACTTTGGAGCACTGCTTGTGAACGTTCAGGCCACAATCTGAGAAAGGAAATGCACTTCAATGTAAGTCAAGAGTTTTCTCCCTTTTGCTGCCGTGCTTACATCAATAATCTAACACCAGTATCACATTAATTTGTCTTGAAGTACTTGACTTCTGAGTGTAATGACAGCCGAATTTAGGTGTAGATATTGCAGAAGAACCCCCACACAGTAATAATCACACTGACAGTGTATTCTCTGGCACCAAAGAGACTTTCGACATTTCAAATTCAACACACACAACAGATGAGTCAACAGCAAAAAGTGACTAAAGAGAGAAGGGGTTCCAACTATCTAACTGTTAACAACGGTGTACCACAAGGCTCAGTCTTAGGACCCATCCTTTTCACAGTCTACATAAGTAATGTAGGTCAGATCATTCCTGATGTATCTTTACATTTCTATGCCAATGACACAGTTGTTTAATGTTGAGCTAGAGCAGTTGCTATGGTTTTTCAGCTTTTACAGTCTGCATTCGACATCATCCAGTCAGATTTGTTTGTGGCTACAGAAAAAACGAAAGAGGACGACTGAGGACATAAATTAAAATACGATGATGAGCATGTGTCTGTATGAATACCTGCACATTTCACGCCCTGAGCGATGAGCCCCCACATGAAGTTGGCACAGTACTCGCACCAATGGGGACCTCTGAACGTATGAACCTGAATGAAAACACAAAAAGGGGGAACATTTGGGGTAAATTTCACAATTTTCAAGTGACAGCATACTAAATACTAAACAGAGGTTCTATTTTGTCAAATGGACCAAATTGAAACATTTGAGCTGCTTCATGTTGATAAAAAATTAAAGGCCTTTAAAGGAAGATCTTACTTTTGAAAAGTGAACAAGTTTTAACATTTTTTGGTTAAATCCTAAAAAAAAAAAAAACAACAAAAAAAAACCTTTATGAACAATCTCAAAGTATGTGTTTGGAGAGGCACCCAGCTACTACAATGTCACTCCTTAATTTGCAAAAGTGATTGAATTATAGCTATTTTGTGTCGGCTAAGATCAATAAGCTGCGGCGGCCATCTTGAATCAGGTTAACTCCAATCACTGCAGTGGTTTATCGCACATTTTACTGAATGGACACACAAGGTTGAATCCAAAAATTAATGCCAAAGTTTTCGACAAATATCTTAAACGATCAGATAGAGCTCGAACTACATGTTGGGAAGGACTCTCAGCTACTACCGCTCTGGATTTTCGCTCAATAATTGCAAACCTGTATGAGTTATTGACTATCCAATAAGAATTTTCTGAAAGTTAAATTAACACCTTCATTGGTTCATAAAACATTTTGCTAACAGGCAGTCAAATGGACCAGAAAATTGGATTTGAGCGGCTTAACGCTGATAAGAAAGGTGAGTAAAAACCGTCCAGTCAAGACGGATTGGGTCAGGTTTTACCTAAACACCAGCAGTAATCTTAAATAAAGGCAGCAGAAACTGAATAGGAGGGCTGAAAGGACACTTGGAGTGGGAGCGGAGTTTTTATCAGCTCATTTATTTCACCAAGTGGCTCTTCACATTAAAATGCTAATAACTTCCATCCTCATGGGGCATTGTGTGCGAGTCAGTGTGTGTGTCTATATTTCTGTGGCGCTAAGGGTGATGTAGCCCTGACCTTTTCACTTCTCATTAATGGCTGCTAGCTCTGAGAATGGAAATTGCTTAAAAAAAAAAAAAAGAACTTTGTTGGAGAAATGTATTTTTCTGACAGTGAACGAGCCAAATCCATCACACAGGCGGCTCACATGCACACACGCGAAGCAAAGGAGCGTCTCACCTTGAAGTTGTGGACCTTCTCGTACTTGGGTGCCAGGTCGCTCTCCCTCAGGGTGGCCCGCCGCACCAGAGACGTGAGCTGCGAAAGGGCAAAAGACCTGATTGGTTGCCAGAAAGTGGAAGCGGGAGAGGCGGGTTTGGAGGGGGCCGGCGTCCGGCTGAGACGGACACCGGAGGCTTTGACGGGGTCCGGCAGGGAGGGAATGGAACCGGCGCTCACGTTCAGGCCGAGAGCGGCGGTAAACAAAGAGCCTTTCGGACTCGTTTTCTTCTTCTGCTTTTTGCCTTTTCTAACAACGTACGACTCTCGACTCGGCATAGCTACGGATTAGTAGATACGTTTAAAATACGTATAAAAGAAAACAAAATTTGGAACAGCTCCCAGAGTAAACTATATAACTACAGTTACACAAGAAACAAGATCCCAGACTGAAGATCCAACACGAGACCAGTCCTACTGTTTTACTACAACAAAGATCAGCCAATCAGATCAAAGCTCCATAATAACAAGGCTCCAATTTCAAAACAAAAACAAAAAATCCGATTTTAAACCGTCCCCGACTCGTAAAAGTTCAACAAAAACAACGCTTCCTCTGGGAGGGTGTCTGTAAAATCCCCACAGATGGAACCGATGCGACAGAATCCCAGAGTCTCTCGTAGGTGAACAATTCTGCCCACATGGCTCAGCGTGTTAATCTGCCTCCTCCATCCTCTCTACATTCACCAGGCAGAGGCAGCGCAGGCATGGGGGGGTGGGGGGAGGCTGGACTAGGATGCAGTAATGGAGGAATTTAACAGGTCACAATGGGAGAGGAACGAGCCAATCACGGTCCAGCGGGCGCTTGTTGTCCGCCACCAGCTCAGTCACCTCGATTGTCCCAGGAGGAACGGAGACGGAGCCGAGAAACAATCTGGCGTTTTATTCATTCCTTCACACTTTCTGTATTCCCTCCATCCTTTTGTCTTTTTACGTGCTTGCCACCTGAGGTTTCTAATCTTTAACCCCGCTACAGACTGGAATAAACATGTTTTAAATAATTTAAGAACAAATCAAGTCTGGATTTTATTAGAAACGCCAGGTTGGGGAAACATCGCGACGGGGGGTGGATGATGATACTCCTGTCTAGATTTAAACAAAATAAATGGCAATGTGTTTAATTAAAAATCGCCCAATAATAAATTCATACAGAAAAAAAAAACATCCATATAGTTGACGGGTCCTTAACCAAGAAATCTGATGCAACAAAGTTCAGTCAGGTCATCTGGATAGTTTCTTTTTTTTTTTTTGAGACGTTTCATCAGTCCAAGGAGCTACAACGAACTGAGTCCCACAAGCAGCACGTTCACATAGTGGACCAAGCACTTTCCTGGTGATAACATGGTTTCTGGGGCCCACCCTCTCCCCCATCGACTCTTCTCAGGAAGCCATAGCCAAATTAATTCAAAACATCAAAGTTCATGCTCAATATTCCAGGTAAAAAAAATCCAGTAAAGTTCAATCAGGTCACCTGGGCGGTTTCTTTTTTTTGTTGAGACGTTTCTTCTTTCAACCAAAGGACTTCATCGCTCCCCTGTCGACTCCTCTGAGGCAGCCATAGCCAAAGTGGTTCAAAACATCAAAGTTCATGCTCAATAATCCAGGTAAAAAAAATCTAACAAAGTTCAGTCAGGTCATCTGGACGGTTTCTTTTTTCGTTGAGACATTTCGTCCTTCATCCAAAGGACTTATTGGATGAAGGACTGTCCGTGTACTGACAGGGACAGTCATGGATGAAGGACTGACGTGTCCATAGGACTATGGACGAAGGGGGAAACGTTTAAAAAAAACAAACAGAAAAAAAAAAAAAAATCATCCAGATGAACTGACTGAACTTTGTCAGATTTTCTACCTGGATTATTGAGCATGAACTTTGATGTTTTGAACCACTTTGGCTATGGTTGCCTCAAAGGAGTTGACGGGGGAGAGAGCGGACTCCAAAAACCATCTTATCACCATCAAACTGGTTGGTCCGCTATGTGGGCGTGCTGCTTGTGGGACTCGGTTTGTTGTGGCTCCTCAGACTGATGAAGTCCTTTGGATGAAGGACGAAACGTCTCAACAAAAAAAAAAAAAAAAAAAAAAAAAGAAAGAAACCACCCAGATAACCTGACTGAACTTTGTTGGATTTTCTACCTGGACTATTGAGCATGAACCTTGAAAAAATCTAATGTTTTGTATGAAAGCTCAGATTTGTTGAGTGTCGTATGCAGATGAAGTTGAGTGCGTACCCATATTTCAGAATTGTATATCAAAATATTTGGAAAACGCCTGGAGTGAACTCTTTCAAACCAAACCATTTGATGTAGTTCAGGAAAACCTTTCTTAATTATTGATTTTAAAGTCTGCAGTGAGTCCTTTTAGATTATACCAGAGAGCTTAAAGTGACGTCTAAATAAATATCGCTGAAAAAACAACTATTTTGATCGAATTTCATCATCAAATTTGTTAAATTAAGTGAATGGTTTTTTGAAGGGAATCGTATCATCTGCGAGCTTGTGTTGGGATGACTGTCAGCCATTACCACCTCACATTTAACTCGATATCTGTCATATTGACTGCGTTATAGCCCTGAAAGCAAACAGCTACGAAATGTTAATGAATGAGGGTGGATATCTGAGAAATGTTTAGTCAGGTGGAAGCGGGGAGGTGAATGACGAGTCAGATAAACAACAAATAAGGAAGGAAAACAGCCGATAGTCGAAGCTCACACTCTAATTAAGACATCACAAATTATTTTACGGGTTTTAGAGCATTCTCCTCTCATTGCAACATTTAAATAAAATCCTTAAACACCATTTTGCGGGAGTCGACACGTGATGTAAACCTATAAAACCCACAGAGGAGCTTGAAACTTAATGTAGCTCATCAGAAAAGGCGATGAAAAACGTATAATTCTGAGGCGTTTGTGTTCCTCAGAGAGAGCCGCATCTGGTCTCAATGTCACAGATGCTGCTGCTGCTGCTTTGTCTGCAAATCCACCCCATTACCATAGCGCACACGTACACTGGACCACCCCCCACCACACACACACACACACACGCATGGACAGTGATGTATGAGGTGCAGAGCAGGCAGCCTTGCACTGCAGGTCACACAGGGTGGCGGTTCAACAACCTGACCACACTACACACTTTGTATACGTGTAAAAATAAAATACTGGATGATTCTGCTGAAGCGTTGTCAGATAAGACCTCCTCCTGAACGCTCCACCTACGCAGCAAAGTTTCTTTGCAACACAACTCAAATGAGCTCACAGCTGAGTGGAAATTAACGAGCCGACGACAAACCGGAGTCTTGTGTACTTTCTGCAGGCAAACCGCTGTTATGCAATTTTACTGCAGAGCCCTTGGCTGGAGGCCATCTCTCCTCTGCATCCATCCTCCTCCTCCTCATGTTCCTGAACACGAGCATCCGTCCTACTGCTGCACTTAACTGTCCTCACCTTTACCCTTACTTTAACTCACAACAAGGCTGCTAATCACGTCCCAGAACATATTTTAAAAGCTCTAAATCTGTGACTATAACAGTGTGAACATTTATGAAGCTTTCACACTATTGTGATCCATTTGTCTTCTGTACTTTATTGAGCATCTTTCTCGTTCCACAGTTTTTGTGCTATTACAACAAATCATATATCAAAACGTTCAGCTCATTCAGGACAATCCTGTGATGACTTTTGGTATTGGTGCAACTTGAGCTTTTTGAAATATTTAGCCCTTTCTGTCATTTTTTTTCTCATAGAAACTGAACTGAGCTCATTTTACATCTTTCAAATCTTTAGATGTGTTTACAACCTTTTACTGCTCCTTTCACACTTTGTTCTGATTCAGCTTCTTTCAGCTTCCTTGTGCAAATTTTAACTATTTTTCAGCTACTTTCAGCTGTTTCTTCAGCTGTTTTGTGCTCCTTTCAGATTATTTTTGCCAACTAAAACATTTTTGGACTTCTAACTTTTTTCTGCTATTTCAGCTACTATTTAGCTGTTTTAAGGTAATATTTGCTTTTTCAGAAAATTCCAGTTTTTTCACTCATTTCAACTTTTTTCATCCTAATTCAGTAAAAATGTGCTCGCTCCACTTCCTTCTGCTAATTTATGCTTAGTTCATCTTTTTTAGCTACTTTTCAGCTGTTTTTGATCATTTCAGCTTATAATTTCCACCGTTTTGTGCTCATTTCTGCTTCTTTCAGCCTAATTGGGCAAACATGTTCTGTCTGCGTTCTACTAATTTTAGCTTGTTCTAACTTTTCAGCTACATTTTTAGCTAATTTCAGCTGTTTTCAGATTAATTCAACATTTTCGTGGTAATTTCTGCTACTTTCAGCCTAATTAACTTCTTTATGATAATTTCAGCTTGTTATGCTCTTTTCAGATTTTTTCATCTAGTTTAAGCTTTTTCTGCTATTTCAGCTACTTTGAGCTGTTTTTATGCTAATTTTAGCTGTTCAGCTAATTCCACATTGTTTTTTTTTAGCTTATTTCAGCTCCTTCGGCTTCCTTCTGGTAGTTTAAGCTTCTTTCTGCCTTTTCATCAATGTTTTGCAAATTTAAGCCTTTTTAAAGCTATTTTCATAATTTTGTGCTAATTTCTGCTTATTTAAATCTAATTAAGCAAATATGTGATCTTTCTGCATTCTTCTGCTAATTTAAGCTCGTTCTTCCATTTCAGCTACATTTCATCTATTTTTTTAATTTCAGCTGTTTTTCAGCAAGTTTTCAGCAATAAGCATTCACAACCGCATTTTTGTAGGAAATGCAATCTCTCTAGTTGGTTTTATTGTTTTATATATTTATTATTGTCTTCTTACGCAGGTTCAGTCCAGTGACAGAGAAATCAGAGGCTCAAAGTCATTTAAGTTCACTGCCTCCAGCACATCTATAGCTCCACTTATAAATGATTCATCACTTTGTGCTCGACTGAAACGGTTCCAAAATAATTCCTTATATAAGTGCACTTGTATGCATTTAAAGAAAACTGCAGGCTGCCTCACCTCTTGCTTGTTCTCAGAATCAGCGAAGACTTATCTCAGTCCTGCTACATGATTTCTGATCTTAAAGAAGAGTTACAATGACTAACATAAACAGCTATTTAATAAGCTTAAAGTCTATAACGTATCTAAATGTTGACATTTTCTAAGATATGCTGGTGAAGATTCTCAGTCATCCAGGACATGGTAAATTCAAAAAAGTTCAAGACAAAAACAAATGAAGGTTTTTAATGGTGTCCTTGAAGCAATGGATGCTAAGGACTACTGTGCTGCACTTTACTTAGACATAAAGCTTTTGACAACTTATGTCATAAACTCTCAGAAATTGGTTCTCAGATCACACCATTGGTTGGTTCCCTAATTATCTCTCAGATCGGAGGCAATGTTCAACATAATGGTACTTCTTCCATTTATCTAAATGTTAACAACGGTGTACCACAAGGCTCAGTCTTAGGACCCACCCTCTTCACAATCTACATAATGTAGGTCAGATCATTCCTGATGCATACTTACATTTCTATGCCGACGACACAGTTGTTTATTGTCGAGCTAAAACAGTTGCTAAGGTTTTCCAGCTTTTACAGTCTGCTTTTGACATAATCCCAACAGATTTGTTCTGCCTCAAACTGGCTCTAAATGCTGATAAAACCAAAGGGATGATGTTTTCAAACAGGAAGCCGGTATCAGCAGTCCTTTCGATTTTATCTTTGAATGGTGTCCCTATTGAGTTTGTCGATTCTTACAAATACTTGGGTATCTTGGTCGATTCGCATCTCTCTTTTAAGCCCCACATGGAAAACTTGGTAAAGAAACTGAAAGTAAAACTGGGTTTCTTTTTCAGAAATAGATCCTGTCTAACTCTGAATGTTAGGAAACACCTTGTAACTCTGACGTTCCTTCCCTCCATTGACTACGGTGACATTGAACGCTCCTATAAGCACCTTGAAGATGTTGGATGCTGTCTATCACGGTGCACTAAGATTCATAACTGGCTGTAACTACCGTACCCACCACTGCACCCAGTATTCACTGGTTAACTGGTCATCATTAACTTCACGCAGACTCTCTCACTGGTACATTTTCATCTTTAAATCACTTCTTGGTCTGCTGCCTTCATACATGTCAGCAGTGTTCCCTCATTGAGGACTGAACTAGGAAAAAGGGCCTTCTCCTACTCCGCTCCCGTTTCCTAGAATATTTTGCAAAAAGATCTGAAGCTCTCGACCTTGACCTCTCTAAGTGGCTTCAAACATCTGCTAAGTTCATGGCAAAAACTAACAGACATGTTCCTGTTTTTGGTATTTTATATTGCTTTATAATGTAGCTGTTTTTGTTTTGTTTTTTAATATAATTTTCTTCCATTTATTTTTCAATTTATATGCTTTTTTTGATTGTCTACTGTTGTCATCATTCTTTTTTTTAACAGGTCTCTCTTGTAAATGAGTCCTCGAGGCTCAATGAGACTAAATAAAGATAAATAAAGGTTGAATGAATGAATTTGTAACAGAAGATGTTTCGCTTCTCATCCGAGGAGCTTTCTCAATTCAAAGAACAGAGAGTGTGAGGTTCGAGTTATAAAGCTAAGGAAAGCTAGATACACATGCAGCAGATTGCCCTATCCCTCCTCACAATATGGGTTCGTTAGGGTCTTGGTTAGTCTGACTCACAGAGGAGCCACTCTGCTCACATGGATGGAATTCCTGATAAGTGTGAAAATGACTGGGTATCAGTCCTAAAACTGCTTTATAAGTCTGGAGGTGACACAAAATGTTGAAATGCCTGTGTTGTGGGGAAAAAAGGGATTCCCAAAACAACAAGGTGTAGGCTTCATCATATTTATTTACAAAGCTTTGGAGAAAAAAGATTTTGAAAGTTGAAATCTGAGACCTCCTCTGTTTAAATATGCTTTCTCTCGTTTTACATAAATGGCTTCCTTCACTTTCTAAGACTAAGACACTTTCTAAGAGCTTTGAGTGGAATGCTAAGAAAATGGGCTCCACCTCTTACTTCCAGATCAGTAAAACAAGAAATGATTTGAAACTCGTTGGTTCAGGTTGATGTCTCAGCTCAGCTGTGCGTCCTTACCCTCTCCTCTGTGTTGCAGTTGTCTTTGACTGGAACGGGTCCGTCGGGCTCCTCCGGGCTGCGTGGCAGGTGCTTCTTCAAAGTTGGCTCCTGGTTGAGAGTGGTGTAGCCCACATGCTCGTAAATTGGGTTTATAGTCATCTTAGCGATGTACTCCGCTGCCTAAGGGGGAAGAGAGGGTCACAGTGTGAACGTGATGGAGACTGAACGTTTTTAGACAAACTGACTAACGCACAAACGCACACACCTTGGTCTCAATGTAGAGTGTGATGAGGCCGTCTGTCACCAGGTCATGGATGGACTCGAACCTCTTCTCTCCAACAAAGTGTTTTCCGTCGTGATAGAGGCGGAAGTTTCTTGTCTGATTCCCAAACCTGGAGGGAGAAGGAACGGAGAAAGAAGGAAATTTGGAGAACATCTGTAACATTTTGATAAACAAATGCTGGGTTTTATGTTGGTTTTCGTATTGGTAACATGGTCAGTGGTTACAAATGTTCTCACTGAAAGTACCACAGTTTTAAAGAGTATTTATATTGGGGATTTCTAGAACAACAACAACAACAACAAAAAATCTGGGACATTCTTGAGATGTTTTTCCTGTATGGGTAATTGGAAACGGAGGTAGGCAGACTAGGGTAATCAGTCAGCCATAAGCACAATATGGCTTTATTTTATACTACATCCTTCTGTCAATGCACTTCCTGTGACAGAAAGGTTTATTTTTCATAGCAGGGAAGCTTTTTTCAGCATATCAGCAGACATAAAGGGAAGTTTACATGAATATTCAGTTTCCCAAAGTGTATTTGCCTTGGCAGGGCGCTCATATCTGCATTATTTTTATTTTTTTGTGAACGGGGAGTGTGTGTGTGTGTGTGTGGGGGGGGGGATGGAGACAGGTCTGTGTTGTGCGCTGTTTGCACCTAAATTTGTCAAGCGGGGTGTGGGGAGAGGGAAGCATTGCGTTATCTATGTAGCTTTTTAGCTAGCGCACTTGTATCGTGCCCAGCTAGTGCTTGCGGAGAGTTTGGTAAACAGGGCGCTCTGTTCTGTTGACAGGGCGGGGCACCCTGCTTGTATAATGGTAGGGGAAACACTGATATTATGATTAACTTTTAAAAGAACATTATTGTATTAACTAGAAAAAACAAACATAATATCGTAACTCTTACTAGGGATGCACAATACTGAATTTTTGGCCGATATCCAATATGCCGATATGTTAAAACTTATTTGGCCGATAAACGATACCAATACTGGTATTTGTTTCCGGAGACCTACTTACAGAGACTACATAGCTTTCTATGCTGTGGAATTAAAATACTACATTATTCTGCAGGTCTTTGTCAGTTTGACCTGCTACCAAATGCAGATGCCAAAAAGGGGGCTGAAAATGTAACAAACGTGGTAAATGGACTGTTTTAAATAGCGCCTTTCTATCTTATCAAGATACTCAAAGCGCTTTACAACACAACCTGTGTCCTCATTTACCCATTCATACAGCACTCTACTAGATCTATACAAAGCTAATTGAACAAATCATTCTAAAGAGACTAATTAGTTGCTTTATCACATTCATACACCTATGGGACACACATCGGAGGCAGCGAGGGTTCAGTGTCTTGCCCAGGGACACTTCGGCATGTTACTGCTGGTGGATTCGAACCCCCACCTCTTGCATTGGAGGATGACTGCTCTAACCACTCAGCCACAGCTGCCCATGGCTAAAACAAACAGACTCATGGCCTGCATACATTGGATTTTGTAGAAAGAATGTAAAATATGATATCCTAAAGCAAAAATAAAAGAGAATATACAAAAAAAAAAATTCCTACACAAAAATGTTGAAGCCTTTAAAAACCGAGAAAAGTCAGACAACTTGTTCACAAACAAGCAAAAGTGGGTCAACACTTTATCTACACCTTTGTAAAATAACTGCAAGATAAAACAGCACTCGTAAATCATTAACCCAAAAATCCAACCTTTCCTTTTCCGCCACCCAGACTGGGACTGTGGTTTATAAAACGGGGTATTTATGGAAGGTAATTATAAGCACAGGGAGAGGAGAGGCAGTGAATGAAAGGCAGGTGGAAGAATTGACACATCTATGAATAGACCGACTGACCCAAAACCAAATTCAAATCGAGCCGTGTGCCCATTTTCAAAGTGTGACGCCTACTCAGCAAGCGATTCAAGCTGAACTGACTGCTGACGTCAATTGAAAAGCAAAATGTGTGGGAAAAAACAAAGAAAACGGAGCTGAAACACCAGTGGGCACTAAAGTTTTTAGCTTTAAAGACTTCATCGGTGAGGAAGCAACAAGTTATATAATTCAAGTTTTTAGTAAGAGCTTCAATGTCTTTTAAAGCGATAACAATAAACTAATAAAACCGATCAACAATTCAATTCAAAAACACTTTATTAATCCCAAAGGGAAATTAAGTGTTGTTGCTAATGATCCTGGTTTCATTCAAGAATTGTTATAGATGCCGATAGCTGTGGGCAGGAAGGATCTCCTGCAGCGAATCTGAAGAATCTGGCCACAGATACCGATCCGTCCTCCTGGATCCAGCTTGCTGTCAGATCTGGCAGGCCTCTTAGTCCTCCTGGGCAGCAGGACTGACCGAATAACGGGCAGAATTCCTCCATGAGCGATGGTCACTCCTTCCAGCAGTCTGCTGAGCTCCTCGTCATCAAGGACTGTCAACTGAAGGTGCCGGAGGATGATCCCGGTCCTCCCGTTGTCATGAGCCAAGTTTCCCACCAGCTCCAGGTTGACGGGAATACATCCACGGTGTCTTCTTTTCAACTCATTTGGGATTTGGGGCTGTAGTTGAGGTTTTTGACCTTTTGAAATGTTAATCAGCTGCTCCTGGTTGGTAAAAAACACCTTGTTGTCATGGTTACGCATCATAACAAATGCCCCAAAGTAAAAAGTTTTCAGTAAAAATCCTTCCAGCTGCACAGCATCCGATACCAGAGGAATCAGCCGAAAAAAGTGATTCACATCCAGAAAAAAGAGGAATCAAAGTCCTCAAAAGCAACAACCCAGAATGAATGCAACAGAGCCACTCCAACATGCAGCCACCCTGAGTGGCGCAATTCCAGAACTAAGAGCAGAACAAAGTTCATGCTCAATCATCCAGGTACCAAATCCAATATTCTCAGTCGGGTCATCTGGACAGTTTCTTTTTTATAGAGACGTTTCACCCTCTATCAGGAGGTCTTCATCAGTCTGAAGAGTTCCAGTAAACTATTTCCCCACCAAGCAGTAAAATCCTTAAGTGGACCAACCAGTTTGCTGGAGCTAAGATGGTTTCTGGGGGCCGTCCTGTCCCTCGTCGACTCCTCCCGGGCAGGATCCACAGCCAAAGTGGTTCAAGGCAACAAAAAAACGATCCATTTTATCACAACAACCTGAATCTAAAGCTTCTAATTTGTCAGATTCTGTTAGAATATCACCTAAAATGTCACTGTAAACATTTTCCACCTTTATCTCATATTTTTCTGCAAATGGTGTGATCGAAATAGCAGTTTCAAATGCTTTAATTCATACTAGAGCCCAACCGATACATCGATATGGCCGATATTTTATGCCGATATAGGCGTTTGGGGACATATCGGTATCAGTGATAATTGGTCCATTATGCACCAATATAAACACTTCTAATTTCCACCCCTAAAATGCTGGGAACCAGCCGTGTCCTTACTTGCAAATGGCGTAAATCTACAATGTATCCAGCAGAGGGCGCATGTACACTACTTTCAAGTCATGGCCATGGTGCACACTTGAGACGTAACACAGCCAAAGCAGGGAGCAATACTGTGTATTGTATTTTGGTGAACAGAGCATGGTAAGTTTATTTTAACTGATCTATAAAACAAATCAACAATAAGAAATTCTCTTCAATCCTCCAACCCGCTTGTCATTAGCTACGTGCCTCTCAAGTTAGCAAGCTAACGTTTAGATAACCTAGCATAGGCTACAGTAGTACCTCGTTTATTGCGGTGGATCCTTACCCTGAAGACTGATAAGTAAAAAAAGTGAAGTAGGAATAGTAGAACAAGTAATAAGTAGTTGTTATATATATATATCAGGGTATATGCAGGAATAATGAAGTTAATTTCAATACCTTTTCAAGACTTTTTCAAGACCTTCCAAAATAAATTCAAGACCTTATCGTCACTTTGTTTTATTAAGCAACAAATCTTTGATTTACAAAACTGCTGTTGTTTTCAATTAAATCCGTGAATCTCAAACCTACAACAGAACTGAGATACAGTGGATAGAAAAAATTTCAAAAGAAGAAACTGAACCACGACTAGGTTTAAGAAAATATAGCTTAGGTTACAACAAGACTCGTAGTTATTTTAAAGTAACTTGGTTGAACAATGGCGAATAAGAAATAAACACAGTAATCATTACATGTGCCTCAGTGCAGTTGCTTTGCATTCCAGCAACTCTTCAGTTTGCACCAGCTCACTGAGTTTTTCTTTACGTCTCCTTCTCAAGACAATGGACTTGGTGATCAGTTGGGCCATTAAAGAACCTGACTTTCCCTCTGCCTGCTCTGCCAACTGATCTGCATCTTTTTGCAGAGAATCGCACACCTCTTGTAGAAGTTTTCTCTTTTTTTTCAGCTCTTCTAACTCAGCTCCAGCTGCTTTCCTCTTAAGGCTCTGTGTGGAAGTTTCTTTCTTCTTTCGTTGCTGTTCCAGGTAAATCCTGTACTTCGACCTTGCAGAGGCAACAGAAGCCAGCAGCTCCTTGGTCAGAGGTACCTGCAGAACACCCCCACAGACACTGACCTTGTCGCAGATCAACCTCAGAGCCTCCATCGTCTCTTCGTGTATGTTGCAGGTTTCGACCTGCTTGTTAACTGAGAATCCACGCTCCACTGTGGCCTGTCCATCCACACACACACACACACACACACACAATTCTTCATTGATTTAAAGGAATATTCTATTTGAGTACTTTTCATATATAAAAATGTACTGTAATATGCTTTATTTAATATCAACATACACAAAGAAAAGATTAAATAGTAGTAAACAAAAAGATTCACTTACTTTGATGTGATGCAACAAGTCCTCCGCTGTTCCATGTCCCAGGAATTGAGAGCCCAGATACCTGGATTGAACGCAGTCTTCATTCCAAAAACGAATGTGCACATCGAGCTGTTTCTTTTTAGTTGACTGGTTCAGAGACTCGTCAAACATCAACACAAATGGGCCAGCTTTGTTAATACTGTCAACGAGCTCCTGCTTAAAAAAATGTGCAAGCCCGAATCGCAAGATGTAACCCGTTTTGTCCTTGCCACAAGTGAATGTTCTGGCTATATCCGAATCTGGAAACATTGATTTAAAAATGTCCGATATGCCTTCGTTGGAATTTAGAGAATGGTGATTCACCGCAGTGTGGAGACACCAGATCACCTCTGCACGCAGTGTTGGTGTGCTACCCATGGTCACCATGATGTCGGCAGACGGAGAGGCAGAAGACAGTGTCAAGGGAGCTTTGGTTGGTTCAGGCACACGGTTAGCTGGAAGCGCTGTCGCTGGTGGAGCACAGAAACTGCTGATAGACATCTGCGTTTTGCGGCTAGCTGCACTTTTGTGGCTAGCTCCAGTCATATGGGACTTCAAGGCGTTTATGCCCATCGAGGCTACGCTCATCTTTTTTTTACAAAATGTACAATAAGCCTCGCGGTTATTCTCGGCGACAGGCCTCAGCCATTCTTGAAAATCAGGCATCTCCAACCAGGAGTCCGAAAACTTGCATTTACCCATTGTTCTCACGGTCTCGCGGCAACTTACTCGAACACACAGACTCAAAGCAGCCGCGCATGCGCACAAGATAGGCCTAGCCGTTAAGGCTGTTGTAACCTGACACTCTAAATTTGTGCGAAGCAGTTTCCGAATCCTCCGCGGTGAGGAAAACAAATATTATTCATACATACTTTTTGCTGTCAAATTATTTAAAGCTAGAATAACAGCAAAAAAAATAATACCTCATCAAATCGCTTTCAAGACTTTTTAATACTTTTCAAGACCCTTAATTTTCCCAAATTTGATTTATCAACTTTTAATAACTTTCAAGACCCCGCGGACACTCTGT